ATCTCCCTTTCATCTCTCTCTCTCTCTCTTTCTCCCTCCCTCCCTCTCCCTGTGTGCGTCTGTAGGTATGTGTGTGTGTGTAATAATAGAATGGAGCAGACTGGAGCAAAGCAGATCAGAATAGGAGTTATAATTTTCATTCAGTAAATTGAACTTAATAGTATTATTGTTGTATAAGTATGGAACATAAATCAATAAATCACCTTAACAAATAAAGTATTTGAGGGATCTTTGATGGTCCTTACTATTCTCTGAGCTTGGTTGTTTTCTTGCAGACATTTCAGTACCCAAACTAGGTAAACAACAATTGTGCACTGCACACTGCATTGATGATATTAGTTTGGGTAATGAAAACAACTACACCTAGAAAGCACCAAAGATCCCTCATTTCAATTCTGAGCTAAAATGTTCTTCTTTGTTAATATTAATTTGGTATAAAAACAATTTTGCTACTGAGAAAGAAGAAGAGCTTTCAGGTACTAAGTGGGATGAGTAGGGGTGGAACAGATATATTTTGATTTTTCAGCAAAAAGTAGAAAGAAAGAATGGGCTAATGGTCCAGGAGTACAAAATGCCACTATATCACTAGTATATACAACAAAAAATGGATAATATTGATAAGCAGAGTTTCTCCTGATTAGTTAAAAGTTGTTTATTATAAAGCAAATCTATAATTCCAAACAATACCTTTCACCTCTTTGTCATTTTTGAACCATCTAATATCTGCAGCTGGCTTACTACCAGATGTTTTGCAACTGAGTTCCATCCAATCTCCTTCCATAATTGGTGAAATAAATCCACTAATTTGAGGAGTCTCTGGAACACCTAACAAAAGACAAACAGATGGATTAGTTTTGCTAATGGTTTTTTTTTTCAAGCAGTGTGGAAAGTAAAATGGTAGTAATCATCAGAAAAAAATGCTTTAGTAATAAAGTGTGCATTAACACAGTAGGGAATGAATAATAAATACATTAATTTATAGATCAATTATAGGTTTATTACATAACTTATTCTTCCAAATCAAATACAGAAGATGAACTTTGAAAATATATAGAAGTGAAAACTAAACTTTCTTTTTAGCTTTGAACCAATTATTCAGTTTCAGGATTTAAGCAATTCATGCTGTGAAGACAACAAACTTATTCATTAAAACATTTTTCTTCAGTAATATAACTGTTTGAACACAAACTGTCAAGAGAATGGGCATGACAATTTTAACAATGATAAAAAAGCCACTGATTAAAACCCAATTATATTTATTCCAATTAATCAGTTAATATTAAACTGAATAATAAATTTTACCATATCACTTAAGGTAAAATCAATTCACCATGTTAAATTGAACTCAGAATACAGTTACAGGTCTGAACCTTTATGTATTATTGTAGAGAGGGAAGTTCAGAAAGTAGATGAGGTGTTGGTCTTGGTGGAAGAAACAGCAAATCAAGCAGAATCCAGCAATTTCATTTCCCCCCTTTATCAACAATTACAATTATAACAAAATTCACCCCTTGCCTTCTTCCAGTTGTATTCTAGGCATTTCTTGATTGGTTCAATAACCTCAATTTTTCTGTAAAACACAGGAAGTGTTGGGAAAGATGTCTTGGTCCATATTCCAGACAGTATTAAGAAGTCAGTATGACTGCATAGCAGAGCCTCATGTAGGAAATAATACTCTTATTGACCTATCCCAAATATTTTATCTGATTGGATGGAACTCAGATAAAGAAAAGAGGAATGGAGTACAAAGGTGAGTTGGAAAGTAGAATGGAGACTTTACTATTGATTTGTCCCTATAAATGAATCAGTCTATTTGTGGTTCATTTTTACATATTGTACCTTTCATAACTGCATTTATACTATGTCATCATCAAATTGTAATTTAAAAAGAAATCAACATCAAAATTTGCATTTAAATATTTAAAACATCATCATCATCATCATCATCATCATCACCACCATCATCATTTTAGCCATTGTCTATCCCCTGCAGGATGAAGGCCTCTTCCACATGTTTCCAACCTAGATGATTCTGAACTTTCTTTTGCCAATTGGGCCCATAATATATGCTGATGTCATTGATCCATCTTGTTTTAGATCTCTTTCGTGAATGCTTTTTATCAAGTGGGATCCATTCTATGACTGCCTTGGTCCACCTGCCATCATTCTTTTTGCTATTTCATCAGCCCATTTCCATTTCAATTCTTTTTCTTTCTTGATGATACTGTATACTTTGTTTGTTCTCTAATCCATGTGCACATTTTTTCTATCTTGTAATGCTGAGCATGTATCTTACTGTATTTTTCAGAGTATAAGACACACCTTTTTTCCTCAAAAAAGAGGCTGAAAATCTAGGTGCGTCTTATACATCGAATACAGCATTTTTTGCCCCACCCCTTTACCAAAATG